GAAAAGAGAGCTCTACAATGCAATTCTTACTAGTAACAATTAAATGAGAGAGTTCTGTAATTGCATTCTTACTAGTAACAATTAAATTAGAGAGCTCTGTAATTGCATTCTTACTAGTAACAATGCAATTACGACGAGTAACACTGGGATTGTTATAAGCTAAAACGGCTTGCCATATGAACCACCCTAGACAACCCATCTGCCTTAGAAAGCAACACTCTACCTGTTATTGACAGATCACGCTGTAACCAAGAATTTAATTTGCGTCGGATACGTATGATGCGACGTAAACAAAGTCCCAAGCTAACGCGCGCGTCATCGCATCTGACCAATGAGAGAGCAGGACAGTGGTCTTGTGCCCCGCCCCCAGCGCCATGACGTTCAGTCGCAGGATTCCTCTCCACCGACTGCTTTCGCGCTGCGCTGTCATGGACTCGAAGGTACAGTCAAATGACTAAAATATGATTTAGAACAACCTCCTTTCGTGTGTGTTTGTCGTCGTACACTGCAGCAGAACGCAGACTGTTGGTTCTCAACAGCTGAAAACCAGCTCCGTGTTATTCGGACAGCTTCCGCGTCACGCGCTGAGAGCGGACGACCGTTTAAACACGTACACGCTGTACTCCGTCTATGTTCTCGTGTCTGGCTGTGTGTCTGATGTGTGTTACTATGCCGTGTCCCCATGTGGTGTTTCAGGTGCTCCGGGAGGCGGCGGAGATCGCTCAGTTGTACCGGGATCAGTGTCGGTTCCCGGCGTTGTGTCGCGCGGATGTGGGACCGGTGATCACGTCACGATACGGCGGACAGTACGGCAACATCTACACAGGTTTACACTCAGCACCAGCACTGACACGCTGAACACACAGGTTTACACTCAGCACCAGCACTGACACGCTGAACACACAGGTTTACACTCAGCACCAGCACTGACACGCTGAACACACAGGTTTACACTCAGCACCAGCACTGACACGCTGAACACACAGGTTTACACTCAGCACCAGCACTGACACGCCGAACACACAGGTTTACACTCAGCACCAGCACTGACACGCCGAACACACAGGTTTACACTCAGCACCAGCACTGACACGCCGAACACACAGGTTTACACTCAGCACCAGCACTGACACGCCGAACACACAGGTTTACACTCAGCACCAGCACTGACACGCCGAACACACAGGTTTACACTCAGCACCAGCACTGACACGCCGAACACACAGGTTTACACTCAGCACCAGCACTGACACGCCGAACACACAGGTTTACACTCAGCACCAGCACTGACACGCCGAACACACAGGTTTACACTCAGCACCAGCACTGACACGCCGAACACACAGGTTTACACTCAGCACCAGCACTGACACGCCGAACACACAGGTTTACACTCAGCACCAGCACTGACACGCCGAACACACAGGTTTACACTCAGCACC